AACAGAACTTTGACCAGAGCAGCTTGGGTGGCAGGGTGGATGAGAAAGCTTACTTGGAGTAAATTTGAGAGAAAAAGGAGAAATGGGAGACAAAACTTTACACAATTCTTTGTGAGAATTTTGCTATAAAGGGCAACAGAGAAATAGGTTTAAGAACTAGAGGGAAGAACAACTTCAAAACTGCTTGGGAGTTTTTCCATTCTTTTATCTTGTTCTGTCATCCAGACTGGAGAAACAATGGCATGGTAATACACTAATGAGAGGATTCAGAAGCAGGTGTTAAACTGAGGAAGGGGACAGAGACGGGACTGGCTTTGAGAGCAGTGTGGTTAGCTAATCTAGTAACTAAAGAGGCAGACTACTGGAGTATAGATTCTGGGAGGAGGATGCACACAGTAGGAGTCGATGTAAGTTCTATTCTGATTGCTTCAATTTTTTTCAAGGAAACGGAAAACAGTAAAATAAGGTTTCAGCTGTGAATGAGACTGAGGGAGGACATATTAGAAGTTTTAAGAGAGAAAATATATGAAGTAGGAGAGTTTGGGGTAGAGGAGAGTGTGAAATGAATGGACTTTGGCTATGACTGCTGTGAAGCATCAAGCTTTGCTGAAGATGGTTCAGTAATGAATTAAACCAGGGTAAGATTCTTATTTCCTTAAAACAGCTACTGCTCATTCTCCTGCATCTATATCAATAAAGTTATTCAAAGAAGTAAACTGTTACAAAAAAAAATCTAAATTTCTATAAAGACTTCCAAATATATAAGCTCTATTGAATGTCATATGAAAACTAGCACTGCAAAATGAATTTATTAAAAGAAGCAAGCTTAATGACCCTTATTTCCCGAAGAATAACTGGAAGATAAGCTAAAGAGACAGTAAGATAACATAGTGGACCTGTCCAAAAATCTTACCCATTCAACAGACTCCTTTTTTCTGGCCCACAATGAATCCTATCTACGTCCCTGAACGCGCCATGAGTTATACTTCATTTCTTCATGCTCACTTCACAGAGATGCAAAACACATAAATGGCAGTGTGTGCTGCCAGGAAGCTTAAAGGGATGGTCAGTCTATTTTACTGGTTGAGTTAGCAGACTCTAAGACAAGATTCTCATACTTTCCAAACTGTAAAAGTAAAGACTATTTTTTATATGCACATCTGAGAAATCTTCCCTCTTTCACAGATAGCAAAAATACTACACCATCATGAAATTAACAAAAAACAAAACAACAACAACAAAAAAACCACATAACCTAAGCCTCTGGCCATTATTACAATTAAAATGACTCTTCTCAGATATTCTTAGAATTGTACTCTGATTATAATTGTTTTATATGTAACTTTTTAACAAAAGTAAATGCACCATAGCCCTCTTCACTTAATAACCATGAATCAAAATACAAACTGTAATAAATTTCTATTATATTGTAAAGGTTACAAAATTCCACTGTTTAAAATCAGTCTTAGAATAAAATATTTTATTATTGCTTTGTTATCACCTTTTATACACTATGAATTAAAAGGAAAAAGCTAAATATATTTTTCTACAAAAAAGAGTCTAAAGACTATGAAAATATACAAGATAAGAACTGAGTCAAAGTATTCTTTCAGTACCCTCTAGACATTAATGGAAAAAAACAGGAAGGAAGGAGAAAAAGAAAAAAGGGAAGTCAGCTAACAGAAAGTAAATTTCCTCTAATTTCAAGAGAATAATAATGGAAAAAAATTAATAAACATAGGTAATTTCACATTCTAAACCTTGCAAACAAAGGAATTATATTGTATTAAAAATGGGACCACATACTATACATTATGGGATCAAGAGTATTGATTTTAAACAAGAAAAAGAAAAGATATGTTAAAAATACACATCACTTATTATAACACATAAATGGTATTTCACACTTAGAAAGCTAACTTTTTTAGATTTCTGTTTATACCCAGAGTTATATTAACATTACAAAAGTGAAAGAAGTCACCTGGGCTAACCATATGTTGCCATATCACCCCCATTATTCAGGCCAATGGTGTGGAACAAAACAAAAGAAGGTTGTCAACCCTAAGCAGAGGCTATCCTTTCTAAGTCTTTTAAAATAATGCTACTGAGAGCAGTAACATTTTTCAAAGACTTAATAAGCAAACGCCTATAAGCTCTTGTCAGGTAATCTTTCTTTCACTGTCTCACACCATCAGTCTGAAGGCAGAGAGGGAAAAAAAAAAATCATCCTCCCTTCCCCCATACACCACAAGCAGCTAGAGCCTGGGATGACACCTGCCTATTTCCAACAGGGAAAGCGGTCCATCCACACAGGGGCAGCAGCAGGAGGCATAAACGAAAGGAACAGTGTGAAAAGAAATGCAGAACCATTTCTACAATTTTGAAATTTATACTGTGCAGGAGCCTAGTGTCTCTGAAGAAAACAATTACTTTCATTTTTGCCTCCTACTGCCACTCCGACCTTTCCTGGTTGGTGACTCAGTAGGAGCCAAAAAGATATGCTTATTTTTTTCTTTGAAACACAGGGCTGTTCAAAACTGTGAATTTCAAAATCATAACATGAACTACCCTAATTTTTAGAGGTATTCTTTTATTGTCTTTGACAGAAACAATATGACATGAAGCAAAGTATCTACACATAAATGAGAGACTGGCACTGAAATATACCTATATCTAATAGAAGCTGTTTAAGATAATCTTGGTAATATAATTATAACCACCACACAAAATATAGGCATAGACAGTAAATTTAAAAAAAAATAGGGCAGAGATATAGCTCAGTGGTAGGTAGAGCAATTGTCTTAGCATTCACAAGGTGCTGGATTCCATCCCTCCATCCCTAGCACTGAAAGAAAGAAAGATAATAGGTAGGTAAGTAGGTAGATAGGTATGTAGGTAGATAGGTAGGTAGAGACATAGATACACAGATGATAGATAGATAGATAGATAGAGATAGGTAATAACATAATCTTTGTGAAATTAAAATAATGGTCTTACTTTAAACTAAAGGGTCTCTTTTCTTAATACAAGATATTCCAATAGGTATAGCAAGGAAAATCAATGTCAAAGTACAATTAAGGGCTCATTTAAACATGTTAATTTTAAGGAGTTCCTGATTAGTTTCAATTATATATTCTTACAAACCTTCATGTAAGAAACTGAAGTCCCACAGAGCATGGAAGGGAAGCAAAACATAGCCCTTTCTCTTTAGAAGATTTTAACTTAATAAGGATAGGGAGAAATGCTTGTTAAAAAAGAAAGAAAGAAAGAAAGAAAATGACAATGGTGTCAGAAATCCCAGAAGAGAGATTACAAGAACACCATCAAGTTCCTAAGTCAGAGCATCAGAAGATCAGAAAAAGTCTCATGGCAGAGATGGCATTTTAGATGGTTCTTGAAGGATGGATGAGATTTCAAAAATTGGGGGGAGAAGATGAAAGGTACAAAATGAACAATGTCACAGAAAAGAAAAGAGTTTTTGCAGGCAGTATTCTTTGAACTTTGCTCCTTAGAGAAGTCAATAGATGTACTAAAAGAAAAAGATTTTGGCTGAGCAAGTTGCACATGCTTGTAATCCCAGATACTTAGAAGGCAGAGATCAGGAGGATATGGTTCAAGGATAAGCTGAGCAAAAAGTTAGTGAGACCTCATCTCACCAAAAAAACAGGCTTAAGTATAAGGACTGCAACTGGGGACTGGTCCCAGGCAAAAATCACACCAGACCCTATGTAAAAATAACAAAAGCAAAAAAGGGTTAGGAGTATCTCTCTCTCTCTCTCTCTCTCTCTCTCTCTCTCTCTCTCTCTCTCTCTCACACACACACACACACACACACACACACACACACACACGGGAAGGGAAGGATTTCATCAATAAATATGTTTGGAAACCACTCCATCTCATATGCTCTCTTCTTTTAGTATTTTGTTTTGTTTTGTTTTGTTTGGATTTGAGGTTTTTCTTTTCTTTTGGTGGTACTGGGGTGCAAACTCAGGGCCTCAATGCTTGCTAGGCAGGTGCTTTACCACTCGAGACACTCCACTAGCCTGATATAGTAAAGGTTCTGAGAAGACACTGTCCCAAGTGTCCCAAATCTATTTAACTATAGATCTCATTTGAAAGAGCTTCTATCAAACACTTTAAGAAATATCATCCAAGCAAAACTGGACAATAGGCCAGGAAAATATACTTGTGACCTATTGTAGAAGGCCTCAAATACCAAGCAAAAATAAGTCTTTATAGAATACAACAATAATCAGGCATAGTGGTGCATGCCTATAAGTCCAGCTACTAGGGAGACAAAGCAAGAGGAGTACAAGTCTGAAGCCAGCCAGGGCAAAGTTCAATTGATAGAGTACTTGCCTATAACAATACCACGCTAAGCAAGCACAAGGCCCTTGGTTCAATCCCCAATACTGCAAAAATAAAAATAAGTAAAAATAGGGTGCTGTACCCGCACAGGAATGTTTATTGTTTCAAACCTGCCATTACACATTGAGCTCTGTGACAACCATTAGTGCAGGATACTAAACGATGAACTCCAAGAGTATATACACAATTTGTTATTATAACATCCTTTTTACCCTATCTTAGATTATAAGAAACAAGGAACAAAGAAATAACACTAGTAGACAGAGAGAGAGAGAGAGAGAGGCAACATGAAGAGAAGACAGTTGTAGCAAGGTGAGAGCAGCTCACCAAAGCACAGATAGATACAAAATATACAGACACAGCCTCACCATTTTTTTCCTCCCCTCCCTCAGCCTCATACTAGTCCTCAAAGCCAAAGTCACAAGGCTGCCTTTTTGTTCTCATGTTCTTCTCTGAGAACCAAGCATTATAAAACATTTGAGAACACACAATTCTGACTAAAACTTGGAAATTCGAAACTAGCACTTTTGTCTACTTTACTTCCTAAAGGAACGATAATGTACTACTTTCTTGCTCACACATATTCACGTGGACAGCCATACTTGCGCCGACTTAACAGGATAAATTACCTGTAGCTGGAACTGAGGAACAGGTGGCCCTTGCATTCCTCGTGATTGCTCATCCATTGTCCAAAGCAACAGTAACTCTAGAACTCTGCAAAAATGGAGAGTTGAACTTTAAATTATGCCATCAGTATCAATTCATGTCACTCACCATATACCTGGAATGTGCATTCATTATGAGCAATGTACATGATACTTCAAGATTTATTCAGTAAGACACCCATGTCTTCTTTCTGTCATTTCTGCCTAGCTCACACAAGCATCACTATCTCCATTGTTCCCACTTCTCCAATGTAGTCTTGGGTGCTTAAAAAACCCTATTTCTTAAGGATTTTTTTCTTCTCCATTCTGCCTTATAGATCAATGACATTTCCCTTTGTCCTGTGCATTATAACAACACCATGCTAAGCTCTCCATAACCATGTTAAATACGACCTCTCAAAAATATACCTTTTCTTAATAGTCTAAAAATTAGTACTTTTCTTCATTTTTTCAATTTTAATGCTTACTGTGATTCTTTAAACTTAAAAGGCTAGTTCTTATATGAGAGTGTTTTGTCTTTTATGCCCATTTTGTAATTATAAAGCACACATCCACTAATTCAGTAAACATATATTGAACACCAATTATATGTCAGACACCTCAATAAATCTTAAGTCAAAAACTACAGGCCCTTCAAATACTACTAATTGATACAGAAACTAAACACATCTAATCTTCATTATACTCTTTAAAAAGTAGTAAGAATATTCTGGACATGGGTCATTTGTATTGGAAATACCTTCTTCCATCTGTAACTTGTCCTTTTACACATTCCCAATGGTGTCTTTTATTAACTAATGAACAAAATTCATAATTTTAATGTAGTCTAAGTAATAAGTCTTCTTTACAATAATGCTTCACATATTATTTGTGAATTGATTCCCTACTGTCCCTATTGTTAAGTTCCCTTATATTATTTTCTAATGTAATCTTACTGCTTCACCCTTTCATATTTAGATCTATAATCAACCTATAAAACAAATATTTTTGTATAAGGCAAAATCAGTATTTGGTTTCCTACTGATATCCAATTGACTTCAAAGGATTATCCATTACTACACTGAACTGCTGCTCTGTCACCTTTGTCACTTGTCAAGTGACTGCACACACACACACACACACACACACACACACACACACACACACACAATTGTCCTTCCATATAAGCAGAGTTGTGTCTGTACTGAATATGTATACACTTCTTGGCATTACTCCTTAAACAATATGATATAGCAACTACTTACATAGCATTTACATTGCATTAAATATAAGTAATCTAGAGACAACTTAGCATATATGAAAGATATACACAGGTTACATGTAAATATGTAAGGGACTTGACTATGTAAGTTCTTTTTATAAAAAGGACTAGAGTATCCTTGAATTTTGATATCTATGCAGAATGAAAGGGTCCAGAAAACAATACCCCAGATTCTGAGGGACACAAATGTATCTGTTTCAATCCTCTTTCTATTGCATTGATCTATCTGTGTATGCTAAAACCCATACTACATTGTTTGGGATCCCATAATATCCATACTGAAGTGTAATGTATACATTGCTATTGCTTACTATAAAGTCTACGCATCTTCTTAATTACATATCTGATTTTAATATCAATTTTAGAATCAGTCTACTTATTTCCATTTAAAAAAGATTATTGGAGTTTTAACTGAGATACATTGACTCTGTAGATCAATTTAGGGAGAAATGGCATCTTAATTTTAAGTCTTCAAACTCATGAACACAGAATGTCTCATTTATTTTAATTTCTTAGTTTTCAGTTTTAATATGCTGGTCTTTCACATCTTTTTCCATATTTTTCCTAAGTGTTGTTTTAAATTTCTGATACTATTGTAAATGATGAGTTTTTTATTCAACCTTCTGATTACTGTTAGGATACAGAAATACAACTTATTATCTCACAAACTTACTAAACCAACTTTTCAAATAGATTCTTGCCTTATTGAAATGCCCAGAGCCTCTAGTACAAGGAATAGAGGTAGAAGTAGACATCTTTTTGTTGTTCCTCCTTTTAGGGGAAAAGTATTCAGTCTTTTACTATTAAGTACAATGTTAGTGTTCATTTTTAATTTTAGATGTCTTGATTTACCAGATTGTTAATTCTCTTCTATTCTTATTGTGGGGAAAGTTTTGATAAAGAACAGATCTTAGATTTTTGTCAAGCATTTTTTCTGTATCTACAAAGATAAATATAGTCTTCCTATTTTGTTTGTTAAAATGTTGAATTATGTTGATTCATTTCTGAATGTCAAAACAGTATTCAGTCACGACATACAATCATTTTCTATATTGTTGTATTTGATTTTACACAGTATTGGATTTGGAGAAGGACAGATAATGAAAGAGAATTCTAGCAGTGAACTGGAATAAAGACTGAAATTCAACATTAAAATCAGGCTTTCACATCTAATATACACAAATAGTTACATAAGACATTCTATGGGGAGAAAAAGGAGTTTCTTTATCAAAAACCTCTCAAATACTTTTTTATTGTTTATAAGTTTATTCATGTGCATACATTATTTGGGCCATTTCTTATTATATGAACCTCTCTTAGAGAGTCATAGTAAATATTAACATACTAAAGGACCCCAAGCAGAGCTAAATTTAACTTATATAATCAAGAAATAGTTTCTTTTTGTAACCTTGTTCAATACTAGACACCCTGATCGATCCCAGGAACACATTGAGGAAGTCTGTGCTGGGGTATAATAAAGTGAGTTCAATATCTAAGTAAATAAAAATATAGCAGAAAGAAGCCAAAGTAAAAGAAACAGAACACAAAGAAGCCTGAAGTGATTTAATCTAACAACCTGCATAAGAAAAATCACTTCTATCGTGTACCAGATAGAAAGTCAAAGTGCCTCTGCTTAGAAAATAAAAACATGGCTGGCAGAGTGCCTAGAAAGCATGAGGCCCTGAGTTCAAGTCCAAGTACCACCAAAAAAAGAAAAGAAAATCTGTATAAAATCATATGTGCATGCAATGTTTGGGTCATTTTAAAGAAAAAAAAAACAAAAAAAATCTGTATAAAAAATCTCCTATTGGATGTAAAAGTATCAAGTACAATGAACAAAAAGCAACAAAATTATCTCTGCACAATTCCTAATATGATTCCTTGTGCCATTAGATTCTTCATGCTATTATCTTTCCACTATTCCTTGGATAAACGAAGCAAAAACATATTTATATTTAAAATATATGTAGGTTGTATTCAGTTTCCTACATTACAAATTTCAGGGACCTGAAGCATGTATCTGTGTTGTCCCTAATACTTGGGTAACACCTGGCACAAATAGGTAGTTGAATGGGTATTTATTTAATGTATGCCTATCACTAAAATATCAAATAATAATTGCTACAAATTAAATATAAAGTCAATAATGAGAGATGCTCATCAAATTCAACAAATTTGAGTCAATCTTCAAGCAACAGAAAAGCTGCCCAAAGAAGATATTACCTGAGTAAAATTTTAAGTAATGAATAGGAAAAATTAACAAAATGCAGATATATCAGCCAAGAGGATGAGAGTTCTACGAAGAGGAAAGAACACATCAAAATACTCAAAAGTATAAACAATATCTTGTAATTTTACAATAAAGGTGGTGAGTATTGGAGAGTATTAGTAGCACACAGCTGCACTAAAAAAACTTAGGTGTCAACACATGCACAAAACTTCTATGATATTTTTTGATATTTACTTTATCCAGTTAGTATTAGGGAGCTAATGTTGGCTTTTAAGCAGCTGAAAGAGAGAAAGAAAACTATTTTTGAAAGATAATCTGACAGTAAGACAAAGTAGGACACAACCCCAAGTAAGAAGGCCAGTTAGTAGGCTACCGCAACAATCCAGACAAGAGACCAGGCCATCACCAAGAACTCTCACTCATCCTCAACCAGCTCTCCACACAACTGACTAGCCCACTTCCCGAAGACTTCCGTGATCTCACACCCTCCTGGCTTTTCTCCTGTTTTATCACTATGCTTTCTAAATTCTCTTTCTGGCTTATACATGTTGGTATATTCCAAGATTTGAATCCTTTTTTAAACCTATGCTTTCTCCCAAGCCATCCTATCTAGTTTCATGGGTTTGAATATTATCCAAATATGATTACTTTGAAATTTATATTTTCACAAGAAGTATTTGTTGTAAGCCTGCACCCAGCTGCCCACCAAATAAAGGACTCCGTCTTTTTGGTCCCTACTTCTTCATGTCTTCACAACGTACCCTAATGTCCAGTCAATCGGTACAGCCCCACAATTCTCAGACTTAGGGGTCCATGAACCTCTTTACCTGAGGATCCTAAAACCCTTTTGTTTATGTGGGTTACATTTGTCTACATAGTCCATACTGGTAATTGAGAATTACCAGTAATTTTTTTCAATACATACTAATTTGTTTATAAATAGCATAACTATGACACTTATATGTAATATGTTTATATGAAAATAGCTACATTTTCAAGAAATTAGTTACACTATTTTATATTTGCAAACGTATTTGATGACTACATCAGAGAAGCATCTTTGTACTGAATCAGATATATTGTTTTGGTTGAGTACACAAAACTTACAGACTAATAAAACTGACCTTATATAAATGTGTCAGTGGGAAAGGGAGGAATATTTTAGTAGTCATTTCTGAATATTCTTCTTCGATACTATACCACACTTGCCAGATGGTAAATTCTGCCAACATTAACCATAATATGAACTCCCAAGCCCTATCCATGAACTTTCATACTACGAGAAAATTCAACTGTCTACCTTACCTTTGAGTAGATCTTTTACTCGTTTGATTCTGTAACCTCATTCATTGGTCATCTGGAAATTTTTTGTTTACTGAGATACTCAAATTTTCTAAATGTTGAATATATTTTTATACTATATTTAAAAAACCAATTCATTACTATCACCACTAATTTCATCAGAAAATTCTTTATATACCAGAAAAGTGTCATAGTCACAGTAGTGAGTACAAGTTCTCTAAAATTCTAGTATTTGCTTTAAACATTAAAGTTTTAT